GAATCAATGGGTTTGAATATTGTGCTCTTTGGTTTTTCCTAGTAAGGTTCTGGTGAATATGTTAACGCCTAGGAAAGTGGGGAGGAAGAAGAAAAAGAAGGGCAATGGAGAGTCTATGTGGCGGTAGTAAGTTGAATGAACTTTTGTTTTCTTGTCGTCAAAAGTGCCTTCAGGTTCTTTTTGTCATTTTATGTTTGAGAAAATAAAAAAAAGGTGGAAATGTCTTTTCCATTATACTTTATGAACTAAGGTTATTAAAGGACATTTAATCCAATATTCTGATTTACTTATTTTTATGTTAAACATCCTAGTTCTATATTATTTTGAATATGTATGCAGCTTAGTCTTTCCCCTAAGGTATAGAAACATTTAATACACAGTTTCTCATGCTTTTACTCATGCAAAACAATTTGAACTGAATTTGGTGATGTATAAATGGGTTCTGAAGTTTTGGCAAAATACTCATCTTGGCTTGGATTATACTCAATAAAAGTAGTTTTTTGAGTAGAGACTACTTAGCTGAGTAGGAAAAGTGTCAGATTTAACTTTTAATGCACTGTCCTGTAGATTCTGATTTTGAGGTTGCTTGTTTTTCATAGTGCTGTATGTACCCAAAGTGCCTACTTTTTAATTTTGCAGGTAATAAAATGAGAATATAGTTGAGTGGAGTTTAACTGATGGCTACAAGTTCTGCAGAATTTCAGAATGTAAGAACCACAATTTTCAAATGTCTAAACGTTATAGCTCTTTAGATAAAAACATCTGAATTTCTTTTCTTTTTTTTTTTTTGCATTGAATGGCAAAGTCAACATTACTATCCAGCTGTATTGTTTTCACTGTATGGTAACTAATGAAGTGTTTCCATGTGCCAAACAACTACAATGCTGTAAAGTTGGAAGCAAAGTCACGATATGTATAATCATAGGGTTAGAATGGAAGAAGGCAACTCTATTATGTCCTGCAAATAAATGCCATTTAAAACTTTCAAACTTGGTATTTCTTCTGGTTAGCTAAAGTAAAAGGATCATGTTGAGTTGAGGCAACTTCTAGGGCTGCTGGACTTGATTATATAATTGGAGTGTTTACATGGATTCCACTCCTTGCTAGGTAGATGACTTTGAATAACTTACGTAAACCCTGAGATTTAATAACTGTATTTTCAATTTGTGGGTAATATTACTAGCCTCACAGAATGAAATGAGATGATGTATGTAAAGGTTTTTATCACTCAGACAGGAATGTAATATGAGCGACAAAGATTATTTTCTACTCTTTCTTCCCTCAAGATTCATTTATACATCTGCTATAACTTAGGCCAGAAAAAATTAAATAAAATGAATTAAAAATCTGTAAATTAGTAACACAATTGTGCATAAATATTTTGGCTAAAAGCTTTGGAGGACATTGTTGATACTATTGGCTAAAGTAAGGTTTGGGAATTATCTCTGGGTTTCATTAATTTAAATTATTCCTCCCTTCTACTTCTGTGGATAATTTGGAATTGATTGTAATAACTGAATCACACAACTTAATATTAAGAAGCTTAAAAAGTCTATCTCACTCCTTTTACTGGCTTACTCAATTGGTTTGATATTAATTCAGAGATTATATTCTCTATGTAATTAATATACTGTTAGGGAATACAAGTTTAAAAGAAAAGTCAGTTTCAAATGTCAGAGCTCAAGCAAAGATTGAGCAAATAGTTTCAAAATATTTTATAGGGGTCTTAGTTGCACGAAAATAAAACTTAAAATAAGCCATTGCTCAGCATGTCAGACAAGGTATTACATTTTATTTGTGCCTTAATAGCACATCTATATAGATAGAAGGTTGTTTAAAAATCTTGCAGAAAACTACAGGTGTCACTTTTCCTAATAAAAACTGCATTTCCCTGTAGTTTATGCCTTTGATCTCTATGAACTCAGGAAAAGTAAATGAAAATTTCTTCGCTTTCATTTGCTGTGATAATGCTGCACATCACTGATCTCCAGGAAACAATACCCACTGCATCACTGGCACCCTGGCCTCCTGGCACCTATTGTGGACTGTTGCTTTCTGTGTGCTTCTTTTCTACATTTGTTACTTAGAAAAATAGGTACCTACAAGATAGAAACAAATCATCACATGATAATGACCAGGAGACCAAACCATAACATGAATATGTTGATCTGCAGTCTTGGTGACCTTTTGTGTTTGTTTAAACAGCTTGTTTTAATTAGCAATGGATATCGCTTACTCTTATGAACATTTTTGACAATTGAAAACAGCACCTTATAAGCTGAGGAATTGGAGAAATTTAATATGAGTGTTTGAGTTTAGTTTCTTTAGGAGGTTGCCTTGTTCTTGTCATAATGCTTGAAGTTAATGGACATCTAAAATGGAAAGGCTTCATGTGTCATACACTGAGTGAAGAAGACTGACAAAAAGCCATTAGTGTCCAGGGAAGAAAGAGAAAAGCAGAAATTCTATCATTTCCAGATGAGTCCTTATGATTCCCTGAACTCTTTATTAGCTTGACAGGCAAGAGGCAAGACTATTAATGCGAAGGTCAGATAGTGCAATTTTAGCCAGATTTTTTCTTTCATTAAAATGGTAGTAGGAAAGTATCTAGAATGACATGTTATGGAATCTAAGAGATGGTTCTTTTGAAAAACAAATTTAATGGCTTTGATGGTCTAAGTAACAATTTTACCTGTTCTACTAAAAGGAAAGAATATAACTTTTCTTACCATACAAGATTAAGCAGTCACTAAAAGGAAAAGTTGGATTATGCTTACTTCTGGAGGTACTTTAAAAGACTTTAAAATAATTCTGAAAATTTACAGTTTCTTCTCACTCTCAAATACAGTTACAATAGTCTCTAATAAAACCTGATAAAAATGTCATTATTTTCAACCCGCTGCAACATCAGGACCATCAACTTTGTTCTTGTCAAATTATTCTAATGTGTATAACAGTACCATTATCTTTCCTGCATAAAATATTTTAAAGTAGCTCTAAAATTACTTTCATAGGTTTCGAAAGCCATTTCTAATGTTACAGACATCCGTCCCTTGTTTTTTACTCTGAACATAGTGCATGTTTCATATAGGTGCTTGTGAGCTTTGCCGTTTTGAATTTTTTTTCCATTAGCTGGTGCTTGGTTGGAAACAGCGGCCATGCTATTTCCTTAGAAAAGTCAGCCATCCTTGATCTCTTTGGTACTGGAAACCCTGGGAAACTTTTTCTTTTTAACAAATCTTAGATTTGCACTTGGGAAGGTATAAGCCACCCTTCCTGATACTTACCATTCTTTGTCATGGAGGGGTGCAAAGATGGCAAAACACACTGTGACCTGTAGAAGTCATTTGGTCATTGGCAGGCTGACTGGGTGTTGAGTTTTTCTTGGACTTGATTTCCATTTCCTCTTCCCCAGCAGTTTTACAAATGATGGTTATTGAAACTCTGGGTATACTTCTTCCTGTTATTTACTACACAAGGGAGAAAAAAAAACCCTAAAAGAAATACAACCAAGTCAAAAAGCAACCAAACAAAAATACCCCAACCAGCTACTATATCATATCTTATAAGACATTGTTCATTTTTTTCTCTCTCTCATTTACATTGTAGACAAGTGGGATGCTGAGTTGTGTATTCACTAATATGAGGATTCACTATAGTATAGTGAAATAACACTGGATTGGTGGTCAGAACACCTGAGAATCATTTCTGATTGGTCAGCTAATTAGCTTTGTGACCTTGGAGAAGTAGCTATACTTTCTGGACTCAGATTCCTTATCTTATTGTGATACTGCTGCCAGGGGGACAAAATTGGCTCACCAATTTTCACCTTGGGATGGGGGGGAAATATCTTATTTTATTTACAAGTAATATGTGCATATACATATACGTATATATATATATATATATATATATATATATACACTCTTATGTCCCAAATGCCTAATAACAAATGTCTGTTTTAGCTCTAATTTACTGTATCTTCTATAAATAAAGCTTATGTTTCCCTATTAACCCTTTTCAAGGACTTAAGAAGTATATTTCAACCTTAAATATTAGTTATTGTATCTTCTTATGGAAAAATACTTGGTATCCCCTTCAAAAATAAAACTTACTTTAGTTTTCTCTTGTTTTAGGGAAGTGTATGCCATTTATAGAAAACTTTGAAAATAGAGAAAAGATCACTTGTAGTGACATATACTGCTGGTTATCAAAATCTATTAACCTTCTTTCTAAGTATATAGCTATATTTTTGATCTTTGCTGATAGAAGCACGTGTGACTGAGTTCTAGTCAATGAAACATAAGTGAAAGTAGCCTGTTTGGAGGCCTGACCTATCAAAACCTCCGACACAGCCTCCTCTATGCTTTCTCCCATTTTAGCTAAATGGAATGGCAATCCTTAGAACAACCATGGAAGTTGCTGGTATCCTGAATTCCTTAATGACTACGTAACTTATTTCTGGCAAATGAGCTGGTCAAGACTCATCCATTCATATGCTTTTATATATGTATTATATAACCACATGCAATCTACTCTTCTATGTATTTGGGATTGATCTGTGGACAACTACAACATTTATACTGGCATATATTTATGCCAACATGTGCCATTATTATATCTAATAAAGACATTGATCCTCTATATCTGCTCTGGCCAATACAGTAGCCATTATTTAGTCACATGTGGCTATTTAACTTAAAATTAATTAAAATTTTAATTTCTCAGTCACACAAACCACAGGTGGCTAGTGGCTACCATATTGGGCCGTGCAGATGTAGAACATTTCCACCATTATAGAAAATTCTGATGAACCGTGCTGAGCTGTATTGTTGAGAATGAATGCTTTTACAGGCACATATACATGCATGAGCACACATACACTCATGCACATACATGTAGGTACACACATAAAAACACATATATAAGGGAAGGGAAATGGAATGGATCCAAATACATGAATTGTGTTGTGACTCTCCACAATATCTTTTCTACTGTAGGCCAAATAATATGTTAGTCTGAAGAGAAATTATGGAAGTTCCGGGGAGTGGTGAGCATTATCACTAGAGACTTCGGTTAAAGGTGGAGCAGACCCAAGTAAGTACAAGGTGCTACTCTTTTTTTCTAATGACTTTTCCTCTGCTTAAGCTGTCTACCTCATTTCATTCTCTAAGAATTAAAAGCTAACCCTAGGTAAGCATTTGACTGCTTGATGAGATTATTGATATGTGAGAAAGAAATTGTCACTCATCGGTGAAATGATTCCTATCTTCTAAATAGGGTTTCGCCTTTCCATCAAGACTTGTCATGGTGGTGCTGGCACCAAATTCTTCCCTTTCTGGTAGAAGAAAAGTAGAGTTTGGGAAATTTTGTGTGATGTAGTGGTTCTCAAATTTGGGGTGGGCTTAAGACCCACCATGGGTGAAAAGTTATCCTACTCTATCCTCCTTCCCCCATCATCCTGATCGTTGCCCTTCATGTTAGGAATCAGTGACCTTGCTCCTTGGTTTTGTGGTGGTGTGCCCAGTTTGCTCAGTGGAAGTTTATACCGTGTTTACTCAGTAATGGGCCTTAGACAAGGCTGCCCTGGATGGCTCCCAGGATAATGTTTTTCATCATGGTCTTTAGAGTTTCATCTAACCTAGAAAAATAGAAAAAGAGGAAGAGAATGTGTGTCCAAGTTGCACGGACTTTTCAAATAACCTAAGCAACGTAGGGGTTCTTTCCCATTTAAGTTAATCCTCAGCTTTATTTCCAGGGGTTGGCAACTCACAAGGGGAAAAAAAATGGAACAGTTGATTTAGTTCCCTACCACTCTATGCTGCAGTAATTAGGACTATATAAAACTTTTAGGTGTCTGGATAGCCGGCAGTTTTCTAGTGATATAAAATCAGTGCCTAGTGTTTTACAGGGCCTACGTATTATATAACTGTCAGGAAAACAAGAATCCAAACTTTTTCTTCTTCAGTTATTTACTGAGTTGGGAGACCTAGCTGTCAGTAAGTAGGTATGAAAATGAACATCTCAGAATTCTAAAGCTTACACACAGAAGTCACAATTTGGCTTTTCCTCCAGGTTTCTGTGCTGACTTAAAAGAAAGCATCCTTCCTCTGTGGAATGACATGAAAATGAAACCCAGGGGCAGCGTCCAGTACCTCTATATTTACACCCGAGCTTTCCACAAGGCAGCCTAAAAGCTCATTTATTTTTATTCTTATTTTTTTCCTGAGAAAACTGACAAGCCCTTTGGAGGTCCCTGCTGCTGGAATCTCTGTCTAATGTGGGATATGGGGCCCAATTCAATGATTCTTGAAAGGTTTTCAAACTGGTTTTAAGGAGCTAGTAGGCCACTTTGCAATAGGAAGAAGCATCTGACATTTAGAATCCTGCCCCCCAACGTGCAAACAATAGAAGAAGTAAAGCCGAGCCCTCGCCTGGGCTTCTGCTGTGCTAATTACAGAAATGTAAAGCCCAGCTGTGGTCAGACTAGCTCATCAAGGAGAGATGTGTTAGACCAAGAAAGCAAAAGAAGGACCGAAATGTTTTTCATTTTTATTCCTTGCATATTGTCTGTTCGAGCATTCAGCTCTGCTTAATTATAAACAATTTCTTTTTCCGATTATAAACATGTTCTTTCTCCCTGCATTTAATGTGAATGAAGTTTCTTCTAGACTCGGGTATGGCCATGAGATTGGAGCTCAAAGGCTCACCCAAAGATTTCTTTAACATACCTATATACAAATTAATATCAGTCCATAAACCCAATATGTTTAAAAAATGAAAGGTACTTGTCTTCTGTTCCAAATCCTTAATAACCCTCCTCTACCCTAAAAACAAATAAAATTAGCAAAACCAAACCAAAGGGAACAAACAAGCGAATTTTAACTTTCCAAAGAAATTTTTATTTCAATTTAACAGGGGAATCTAACGTAATTTCAACATATTTTGCTTCTTTTTATTTATTTATTTATTTTTTTGTGCTTGCTTTTCCTGGGAATCTTTGTCCAGATTTGAACTATAAGCATACTTTGCTACAGCTATAGCTTGTTTTCTGTTAATATAAGAAATATGAGAAGACAAACAGAGAAAAGGCAGGCTAGAGTGGCACTGGTAAGTGTATGTTGGCAATGTAAACATTTTGGACTGACTAGAAATTTTACCAGACTCCAAAATATTGAAAAGTATATAGAAAGTGGTTTCAATGTTTCTAATGTTTGTTTTTCTCGTTTAGAAAGTGCAAGGCATTTAGTGTATGGTGGAACTTGATTATAATGACGTTGTGTTATTGTCTGGGAAAGACAGTATTAATGTTACAGGCTTTTGGTATCATAGATGTATAGGCTGGGCATTACTGAACAATAATAATAATAGAAATTTGTTGAATAATACAAATTTGTTCTAAAGGCTTTAAATGGCAAGATAAAATCTCATTTACTTATAAAGAGGGGGTTAGTACCACACATGGCTTCGCAGGTGATACACCACATAAAGTGTAGGAAGTATCATTCACATTGGTGGTCGATGTACATTTATATATATACATGCAGATCTATCTATCTATCTACCTCTATCTATCTATCTATCTATCTATCTATCTATCTATCTGTGTGTATTTTTTTGATACAGAGAGGTCTTTTGTTTAAATGTTCTGATTTTTAAAAAATGGAAAATGAAGAAATCCTTAAGGTAAGAGTCTCTCCTGTCTTGGATGAATTTGGACTTGGTCCCTTTGTGTGTCTATGGCAGCGTCTGCTTTGTTTGTAGGCATTGGGGCCTCATCTTGTGACAGTATCATTTGAAGGTCTTGTTAAGGTTGGAGAAGCCAATGCCATCACATGCCAGTAACACTTTACACACACACACACAAGCCTTGAAGTTGTTTTCTCCTGTGTCTCCCTCTCTCTCATGCCCCCCCTGCCATTTGTCCCTCTGTCTCTCTCTCTCTCTCTCTCTCAAAAATAAATAAGTATTTAAAAGTGTTTTTTTTTTTTTTAAACAGAATGCTTCATGTCTGACGCCATAAACCATAACTAGGAGTAAAAATCGTAGAGACCATGAATAATGTGAATATTCTTACTTCATATAGTTATGTGATCATATACAGGTTAGCTTAGCTGTTCAGGCTATAAAGGAAAAATACATAGCAACATCTCTGGCTCACTATAAACCCATCTGGGACCTTTAGTGTACTCCTTCCTCAAAGTACTATAGTACTCATATATACTATATATATATATATATATATATATTAGGTATATATGGTGTGTGTTATGTGTGTGTGTATTAAGTTGGCTGTTCTGGTATTGATGGCATTGAGAGCTTGCTCCTAACCAAAAAGACCTTCAACAGATGATGTCACAAGATGAGGCCCCCTAATGCTGACATTAAAGGAAAGAACGCTGCCTAGATACACAAAGGGACCAGTCCATCTCAAGACAGGAGAGACTCACCTTTGAAGGATTTCTTTCATTTTCCATTTTTTAAAAAAATTAGTATCATTTAAACAAAAGCAACTCTCTCTGTATCAAAAAACAACACATAGTGATGATAGGTATAGATAGATAGATATGAAGATGAGATAGATATGAATGAACTGCATGTATATATATAATGTACGTAACCACAATGTGAATGATACTTCCTACACTTTAGTGGTGTACTCTGCAGAAGCCAATATTGGAGTAACCCCTCTTTAAGTAAATGAGATTCTATCTTGCATTTAAAGCCTTTTAGAAAAAATTTGTATTATTCAACAAGATTTTATTATTATTACTGTTCGATGCCCAGCCTATGGTCATCTATGATCAAAAGCCCTGTAAATATTAATACTTGTCTTTCCCAGAGCAATAACACAACGTCATTATAATCAAGTTCACCATACATAAATGCCTTGCCATTCTTGAGAACTAAAACAAACATTAGAAACACATGACACTCTATGATATACTCTTTCTAATAGTTACTTGAGTCTGTAAAATTTCTGAATAGTCAAAAATGTTTACATTGCCACATACACTTAATCAGTGCCACTCTAGCCTGGTCTTTTCTCTGTTTGTCTTTCTATTTCTTATATATTAACAGAAAACAAAGCTATAGCTGTAGAGAATATGCTTATAGTTCAAATCTGGTATAAAGATTCCAGGGAAAAGCAAGGTCAAAAAAAATAATAAATAAAAAAAGAAGCAAAATATATCGTTGAAGATATTTAGATTCAACCTTTGTTAAATTGAAATAAAATTTTTGGAAAGTTAAAAATTACGCTTGTCAAGTTCCCTTTGGTTTGGTTTTGCTAATTTTATTTTGTTTTAGGGTAGAGTGAGGTTATTAAGGTTTGGAACAGGAGACAAGTATCTCTATTCTTAAAACATATTGGGTTTATGGACTGATATTAGGATTTGTATATAGTATGTATAAAAGAAATCTTTGGTGAGCCTTTGATGTCCAATTCATGGCATACCCGAGTCTAAGAAGAGAAAATTCACATTAAATGCAGAAAAAGAACATGTTTATACATCGGGAAAGAAATTGGTTATATATGTGAAAAACAGAGCTGGAATGATACCTTTCGGAACAGACAGAGTATGATTGAATAAAAATGAAAAACATTTCGGTCCTTCTTTTTGCTTTCTTTGAATTAACACATCTCTCCTTTTGATGACTAGTCTGACCACAGCTGGGCTTTTACATTCCTGTAATTACAAGCATGAAGCCAGCGAGTGGCGCTGCGACTTTACTCTAGTTGTTTGCGTAGGGGCAGATTCTAAATGTCAGATGCTTCTTCCTATTGCAAAGTGGCCTACAGCTCCCATCTAAAACCAGTTTGAAAACCTTTCCAGAAATCATTAATGGTGCCCCATATCCCATTAGACAAGATCTCGCAGACAGCAGACCTCAAAGGGCAATCAGTGGTTTTCTCAGGAAAAAATAAGAATAAAAATAAATGAGCTTTAGGCTGCCTAGTGGAAAGCTCGGGTGTAAATATAGAGTGTACTGGACTGCCCTGGGCTTCATTTTTCATGTCATTCACAGAGGAAGGATGCTTTTAGTCAAGTCACTTGAAACCTGGAAAAAAGCAACGTACGACTTCTGTGTGTAACTTAAATTCTGAATGTTCATTCTCCTACTTACCTGCACACCTACGGTCTCCCAGTCCAGTAAATGAATCTTGAAAAAAAAAGATTTAGATTGCTTATTTCCCCATACAGACGAGTGAACTACCATTGGAACCCTGCTAAAACACTAGGAACACGTTAAACTACCACTAAAACTGACCCGGCTTCTGTAACCTAAAAGTTTTAACCGAATCCCAAATTACTGCAGAGTAGTGGTAGGTAACTATCAACTGCTTCCTTCATTTTTTTTCCCCTTGTGATGCACAACCCACTGGCAAATAAAGTTGAGATTGAATGTAAATAGGAAAAAACTCTCATTGCTGTCAGGTTATATTTGAATAAAGTCCATTCAATGGATAAAATTCTCTTCCTCTTTCTCTATTTTCAGGTTAGAAAACTCTAAAGACCATGATGAAAAACATTATCAGGACCATGGGCAGCCTTGTCTAGCTCCATAGCTGAGTAAACACTTGCATAAACTTCTCCAATCTGAGTAGAAGCCATGGGTACACACCACACCAAAAACCAAGGAGAAGGTCTTGATTCCCAACATGAGGGCAGCTTATTCGGGATGATGGGGAAGGAGGATAGAGTAGGATAACTTTCACCCCTGTATGTCTTAAGCCCTACCCCAAATTTGAGAACCACTACATCACAATAATTCCCAAACTCTCTACTTTTTTCTACCAGAAAGGGGAAGAATTGTTGCCACTCACTCTGATGACAAGTCTGATGGAAAAGAGTGAAACCCCTATTTAGAAGATAGATCATTTCACCCGATGAGTGACACTTCTTTCTCACATATCAAATCATATCATAGCAGTCAAATGCTTACCTAGGGTTAGCTTTTAATTCTTAGAGAATGAAATGGGAGGACAGCTTAAGCAGAGGAAAGCATCATTAGAAAAAGAGTAGCACCATTGTACTTACTGGGTCTGCTCACCTTTTAATCCTAGGAGTCATTATAATGCTCCCCTCCCGGAACTTCCATAATTTCTCTTTCAGACTAACTATTATTTGGCCTAAGTATGAAAAAGATATTGGGAGAGTCACAACACAATTTCATGTATTTGGATCCATTCATTTCCCCTTCCTTATACTATGTGTTTTTTTATGTGTACTGCCTCATGTATGTGCATGAGGTGTATGTGTGTGCTCATGCAGTAATAATGTGCCTCCAAAAACATTCATTCTCAACAATACACAACACGGTACATCGGACATTCTTCTATATGGTGTGAAATGTTCTGACATCTACGCGACCGCCCAATATGGATACTCACTAGCCACCTGTGGTTTGTGTGACTGAGAAATTAAAATTTTAATTAATTTTAAGTTAAATAGCCACATGTGACTAAATATATGGCTATGTATTGGCAGCAGATATAGAGGATCAATGCTCCTTTATTAGAGTATACATAATGGCACATGTGGCTAAACTCATATGCCAGTATAAAATATGTTGTAGTTGTCACAGATCAATCCCAAATACAGAAAGAGTAGATTGCGTAATGTGGTTATATATACAGTGTTACAGGGCTATTATGAATGGATGTGAGTCTTGACCAGCTCCATTTATGGCAGAAATAGAGATTCGATGAATCATCATGGAATTCGGACTACCATAGCAACTTCCATGTTGTTGTTCTACAGAGTTGCCATTCATTTAGCTAATGGAGAAAGCATAGAGCTAGTGCTGTTCATGGGTTTTTGATGAGTCAGCCAAACAAGGTCTACTTTCACTTATGTTTCATTGACAGAACCTGTCACACAGTCCTATCAGCAAAAGATCAAAAATATAGCTATATAACTTAGAAAGAAGGCTTAATAGATTTTGATACACCAGCAGTATATATCACTACAAGTGATTTTTTCTTATTTTCAAAAGTTTTCTATAAATGGCATAACTTCAAACAAAGAAACTAAAGAATGTTTATTTTTTGAAGTGGGATACTCAAGTATTTTCCAAGAATACAGTAATAACTAATATTTGAAAGTACAACTATACTCTTAAGTCAGCTGAAAGGGTTAATAGGGAAACATCAAGAACTTTATTTATAGAAGATACAGAAATTAGAGACTTAAAACAGACATTATTTGTTATTAGGCATTTTGGGACATAAAGTGTATATATATATATATATATATATATATGTATATATA